CAGTGGGGAGGGTGTTTGTCTTGCACACAACCAACCTGGGTTCCATCCTTGGCACCCTGTGTGGTCCCTCAAGCCCACCAGAAGTGTTCCCTAACTGCAGAGCCAAGAGAAAACTCTTAAGCACAGCCAGGTTTGGCCCCAAAAACATAAAAAAAGAAACTCATTCACTATTGGTGGGAATGGTCTTATTTAGTTCCTATGGAAAACAGTATGAAGATTTCTCCAAAAATGTAAGAATAGAACTCTTACATGACCCAGTGATTCTACTTCTCAGCATCTACTCCAAAACACAAAAACATTAATTTGAAATGATAGATGCACACCTATGTTCATTGCTTAGTACTTAGTACAATAGACAGGATATGAAAAGAACAGACTGAGTAGATAAAGAAGTTGTGGTATATATATACTATGGAACACTGAAGTCATAAGATGAAATCATACAACCCATTGCAATTTGGATGGAATTGGAGAGTGTTGTTGTAAGGTTGTTAGGAGGAGGAGAAATACCACATGCTCACAATTCACCTGTGGTATAGAATAGTAAGATAAGGGAATGGAAGGTATCAAAAGTGGGCAAACCCTTGGCCCTAGATAACAGAAATGAGAATGCCAAGGAATGAGTGGAAAGAGAAGAGAGAGGACAGGTAATAGCATTGTTCAAGGGCCTTGGGCACCTGTAGGTAAGTTTATACAACAAAGCCATAAGAGCCAATGCTATTATAAACATGTAACCCAAAATAAAATAATCACACTGAAAAATGAGTTTACTAAGGAGGTCACATGGGAAGTGGGAGGAAACTATGGATCACTGGTAGATGATGCTGATAGTAGTGGGTTTGAAATTGAAACATTGCATGCTTTATTTTTGGTGGTCAGGTTTAATTTCTTTAAGTTATTGAATCACTTTGAAATAACAGTTACACAGTTACAAAGTTGTTCATGATTAAATTTCAGTCAGACAAGAAAGCATGCAAGAAACTTCATGCTTTAGAATATTTTTTTGTGTTATAGGACCTCTTGAGTTTATGCTCAGGGGATCATATGTGGTACTGGGATTTGAGCAAGTAAAAAAAAATTCAAGTAAGGGAGTGAAATAATATAGGGATTAAGGTGTTTGTCTTGCATTGAACCTGGATCCCAGATTCAATCCTGGTCCCTTGCATGCTGTTGGGAATGATACCTAAGCACAGAGTCAGTATTAGACCCTGAGCACACTGGGTGTGGCCCAACTCCCCTCCCACAAAACTGAAATAGATAGACAGAGCAAGAAATTGAAGTTTTTTGCTTCACTCCCCAGAATTTATCATGTTCTTTCTCAGTGTTTCTATTTCTGTTAGTAATGCTATTAGACAGTTATTTGAGGACATGAGGCATATAGGGGCGTCAACTTTATTCTCCTAAAATAGGAATTAGATGAAGACAGAACTCAGTAGCAGGCAGTATGGGATCCTGGGCTCAACCTCCAGCACCACAAGTAGACATTAACAAACAATTGTGGAGCCAGAAAGATAATACAACAGGTAAGGTGCTTGCATTCTATGCAGCTGACCTAATCTGATCTCTAGCACTGCATAAGGTCCCCTGAGCACAGCCCAAGCTGGTGTAGTCTAAAAACCAACATTCCCCCCCCCCCAAAAAAAAATTACTAAAAGAATCTATTTAAAACCCTGTTAGCCTGTACACATTAAGTTTTTAAATGAAGGTTAAGAGGGTCTGTTCAAGTTTCTCCCCACTCCCTGGGGGAGGAGGGTGACTGGTAAAGACATGTCAAACACTTCCTCTCCTCCCACCATCATTAAAGAACAAAAAAGCATCTACCTCTAGGTATAAGAAGCGTCTGGTTTGTTTTAGCTGGGTTTCAGAAGGAAATGACTTTTCTCTGAAATTGTAGACGCCCAACCCAGCTGCAGTATTGTTAGACCTCAGGGTAAACAGGAAGCTTCCTGCCTTCAGCCCTTCATGTCCCTCTCCCAGACTATTAATGACTGTTAGTAGGATGGTAAAAGGACAGCTGCTGGCCATAAAAATCAGCCTATTCCTTAGATCCTTTAAGAACAGCAACTAGATCCTTCCAAGGTCAGAGAGAAAAATGTCTTTCACAGGTCACACCAGGTACATTCACCGAGTTGTTCTATGATCAACACTAACGATGCCTTAGCAGAATATGCATGATTAAGTATTTATAGTTAAGAAGACAGTGTTCCCATTTAGGGTGTTTCTGATCTTTAAAACCTTGTTACTGGGGTGAAGGAATCTTTTGTGAGGGTTAACCTTTTTTTTTTTTTTTGGTCACACCCAGCATTGTTTAGAGGTTACTCCTAGATCTCTCCTAGCAGGGCTTGGGCGATCATGTGGGGTGCTGGGGATTGAGACCAAATTGGGCGATCATGTGGGGTGCTGGGGATTGAGACCAAATTGGCTGTGTGCAATACAAAGGCCTGACCCACTGTACTATTACTCCAGCTCTGGGTTAAGATAAGTGTTGTCAGGGTGAAATCACTTTTTCCCCCTAGAGAATTAAGCATCCTCTTCTATCAGAGAAACAAGCAGTCCAAGTTATCTTCCCGTGAAAAGCAAAAAGGAGTATCCATGACAGCAAAAGATCTTGAGCTCCTTACTTTGCAGTAAAAAGTGAAACAGGGTTTACACTATTCCTGCACAGAAAGTATCAGTGCTTGCAGCTGTTGGTGAGGAGGGAGGGAATAGTCTCTGCCAACTGGAAGGACACTAGGGCAGGGGTGATCATCTTTTGCCAATAAGGGCACTTGGGTGTCTTGGCAGAAGGCAGAGGGCTGCCCCAATCTGTGTGTACATTTTCAGAAGCATTTGACTCGGGACCAAATTCTCTCAGCTGTGCTAAAGCTGGGATGATGGTTGGGAAATGTTTATTGGCCAGGCTGGCTAGGAGTTCCAACAGAGGGTGCTGGGGCTCAGCCAGGAGCTTCCCCTCAGCTGGCAAGTTTAGCTTTCTGTCATGGTCAGAGGGAGTGTGTCAAAATTCCAATTCTTGGGCTCTCCAGAAACTGCTTATGATTACTCATCTATTTTTAAGTTTCTGCTTACAAAATTTGTTGGCTCAAATGGGATGGGTGGTAATGATGCAGAGCTTTTTACCTAGCTTAAAGAATACAAAAATAGCTCAGCCGGGGTCAACAATTTTACAATTTCAGTGACAACTTATAACCAAATGGGCCAAGAATATACTTTTATTCAACCTTGTGCTTATCTACAATTTATCAACTTATACTACCATGGCTCCTCTACCAACCAAGCAAGCACAGACACTGAAAGAAGGGCATGAAAACTAGTCACCAATTTGACCATTCAGCTGCCTAGAACAGGTTTACTTATGTAGGACAAAGACCCTTATTTGCCAGGCATATTGTTTTCTTTCAGTCAAAGGAAAGGTCGTCTTTCTCCCTCCCTCCTTCCTTCTTTTTTTCTAAATAAGGGGTGATCTTTGTTCTGCTCTCAGTAATCCCTCCTGACAGGTTCAGAAGTATAGGGGACCACATGGGATGCAGGGGATTGAACCCAGGTCAGCCTCATGCAAAGCAAAATGCCCCAACCCGCTGTACTATCTCTCTGGCCCAAGGAAAGGTAATTTTTCACTTCTCAATGTTGGAGTGGCACAGAGGAGTTTCTTCAAACTGCTGAAAAGTAGGAAACTGGGTATTTCTTCCTAAAATCACACATTAGAACCCCTCCTTGTGTTTCAGTTGGAATAATTCTACTGATAAAACATCTCTTAAAGATCTTGGGGTTGGAGCGATAGTACAGAGCATAGGGTGTTTGCCTTCCATGTGGCTACCTGGGTTCAATCTTTGGTATACTATATGGTCCCCTGAGCACTACCAGGTGTGACTCCCGAGTGCAAGCCAGGACTAAACCCTGATCGCTGCTGGGTGTGACCCCCAACCCCAAAACAACAATAACAACAAAAACAACAAAAACCAGCTCTTAATGGTTAAAGAGAGTACAGTGGGTAAGGCACTTGCTCTTCATATGGCTGATCCCAGTTCAATCTCCACATCTATATACGGTCCACCAAGCACTGCCAGAAGTGGCCCTTGAGCAAAGCCAGATGTTTGGGGTGGAAGATCCCCAAGGAAAAATATTTTATGGCTCAAAGGGAGCTGCAATAGATTATTTGGTTCATCACAATTTTTCTCGCACCAGATAAGGGAAGAGACCTAACGTTAAGCATTTTACTGTTATACTTCTGTGGTTCCTAATTTGGGGCTTTTGGGTCACACTCAGAGGTGTTTAAGGGCTATTTATGGATCTGTGCTCAGGACTGATCCCTGAAAGTTCATGTACAGTACTGAGGATAGAACTAGCAATGGCTTCATTGTAAGACAAATACCTTAACACATGTACTATCTCTCTGGCTCTGGACTATGTTTAGGAAGGAAAGTCATTGAATGTGTAAAAAAAAAAAAATTAAATTTTCATAAATTTGAAAGCTTTCTCATATATAATAAACAAATAAAAGAAACAAATTATTGAAAAATCATGATTAACAGTTCCATTTTGAAAAGATGGTTCCACTTCATTTACTACAGCGACTGGGGTCGCCACCTACTACTAGTCTGTTAGCCTATAGCCTTTAAGGAAATTTACATTTTCCATCTAAATAATTTACCTCTGGGTCTGGAGGAACAGTAGAGTCAGTAGGGTACTTGCCTGCATGAGGTCAACCAGGGTTCAATCCCTGGCACCACAGATGGTCCCCCGAGCACCGCCAGGAGTGATCCCTGAGTGCAAAGTCAGGACTAAAACCTTAACACTGCCACGTGTGGCCCCAAAACAAACAAAAAAAATTTACCTCTAAATTTATATATGACTCAGTGGTATACGCAATACTTGGTTGATAAGACAAATCCAGGTATTCTTCAGACTTGGAAAAATACTTTTTTACTACTCTCGAATTTTGAGTATCAGGATTCTCCAGTGGCTCACAGTCCTTCAATTTTTTTTTTTTTTTGCTGGGGAAGAGGGTCTTTCCAAGCAGTGCTTGGGGCAAAAGCCCTAATGCACACACACCCTGCCCTCCACGATACTCAGTCAACCAGGCCAAACAATGAGATGTTGGAAGTCTGGCAATGACTGTTCAGGCCCAGCTGTACTGAGGATCACCAAGGCTACACTCAGTGGTTCCTGGGGGTAGTATTGTAGATGAAACTCAGGACAGTACACATGTAAGGCATGTGTGTGTCCTGACCCCTGAGTTAATTCAATTATTTATCCCACTCTTAATTAACCTACAAAGGTGGTGGGAAGGTTTTAATGGACAGAGTAGAGGTCCCAGGGTGGTACACAGAGGCTCCGTGTATATTTGTATGTTTGGACCCTGGATTAAGTCTTTTTTAAACCTGTCTTCTAAAACTCCAGGTCACGTCCAAGGTAAAAAGTTGCAATGCAGAATTAGTCCCAGGAACCAGTAAGCCAGGAAGTAGCCTAGAATGCATCGTGTGACTAGAGAACAGGTTTTCCAGTTGTACAAAAGTCCCATGATAGAATTTCTGGTGACCTTTTGTTCTGGTGGGGAGTCCCTGGCAAAAGGCTTCCAAGGCATGGTCTCTAGGGATTTCAGCAGTGGTTCTTGATCCTGGAGCAAGTGAGCTGGAAACCAGTATACGATAGGAGTGGAGGAGCCCAAAAACCTGGTGAGAACCTGGAAATAAAAGGGGGTAGGGGAGGTCCACAGATTATTGCAATGCCACAGCATCAAATGCAATGTCACAGCATTTAATTGGGCCAGCTTAAGGATTTCCTGCTGCTGAGCGCACTATATCCCCAAACTAGAAACTTATTACACTGGAAAAGAAATTCAACAGAAACCAAGCCAGAAGACTTCAATGTTACAAATAAATACAGTAACTCACTACCCCAAACCCGCCAATTTATACTAACACTGATGGGATCGAATTTTAGCCCAGGGTCTGGTCTTTAAACTGAAGGCGGTGAGGGCAGCTTTGGGAACTTGAAGTAACTCCCTCATCTCATTGGTATGGCAAAGCAGAGAAAAAAGGGCCAAGAGATCATGTGGCTAAACATTTTCCCTCCTCAGATAATCAAAGCCAAGTTTCCAATTGGTCTCCTTCATCTAACCTGCAAACTCCAAGTTTTGCTGGCACTCTCTCTACTGGCTAATCCAGCTACAAACACAAAATGTTACTTTCTATTTCCCCTGTGCCTTTTATTGATACAGCTCAGAAAACTTTATAAACAGCCATTGTGGGACTCCAAGAGGCAGAAACTGTTAAGAAATGGCTAGCAAGGGGACAAAAAGGCCTCCTTGAGGTTATGCTGAGACTGGGACCACTGCCAGGAACAACAACAAAAAAATCAAGGATATGATTAAATCCTTCCTATTCCTCTCTATTCCCACCACCACCCAAACACTGCATAAGACATATCTGAAAACTGAACACCTGCTAGAGTTCAGAATACCTCAAAAGCCAACATTCAAGTAGACCTTCTGGGTGTAACTGTATATTAGGGAAAGACCAGGAATTATCCTCTGTGCTTATTTCTATATCTTTCTGTTTCGGGGGCCAAACCCTCTGGTGCTAGGGAGCAGATGTGTGATGCTGAAGGGACAAAGATCAAACCTGGGGCTCCTGTATGCAGAACTTGTACTCTAGTCCTTTGAGATATCTCCCTGGTACCTTATTCCTGTATCTTTCGCTTGTTTATTTTTTGGCCATACTCAGAGATGCTCCTGGCAGTGCTTGGATGACCATATGGGATGTCAGGGAACCTAGGTCAGCTGTGTGCAAGGCAAGTGCCCTTACTCGCACTGTGTGATTGCTATAGCCCATTATCTTAAGTCAAATCTCTTCATTTCACAATTCTCAGGACTTTGTACATATCCTGTTTGTCCAGAATATTAGTTCTCTGCTTCTGAATTCCTTAATCGCTTCAGGATCCAATTTCAGTAAGATGCCTTCCTTAACTCTGTCAGGACTTTTCCCCCTCTAAGTTTCTGCAGTACTTTATCTCAAAATAGCAACACCTTTTTCATTCCATTGTATTACTTTTCATTTTTTTGGGGGTGCTCATGATCAAATCCAGGAGTTCACACATGTAAGACATATACTCTACCACTGAGCTACATTTGCATACCTCACTATACAGTTATCTAATCCGTTAAATATCTGTCTCCCCATTTCTCCCATGAGACCCATCACTTGATCACTTGACTTCCCGTTAATCATCAATTTGCTTGAGCGGGCACCAGTAACGTCTTCATTTGTCCCTGTCACGTGGTAGTGTAGCCCAATGGCGTATGTTTGTTCTAGGAACACGAAGAGCCTCAAACAGATTGTTCAGGGTCTTGACGAAGAAGTCTGACCATCTGGTAGGTGGGCGGCCACGCAGTCTTTTGACGTCCCGTGGAATCCAGTTGGTAATGGCTCTAGTCCAGTAGTCGTCTCCAAATCTCATTACGTGTCCAGCCCATCTGATTTCAACGCCTTGGCAAATGAGACAGTGTCCGATTCTTGACCTTCGACAGAGACTGGAACTCCAGACTCTTTCTCTCATTTGAGTGAAACATGATATCCCAAGCACAGCTCTTTTGATTACTCTTTGGGAGACCCAAATAGCATTCTCATCCTGTTTTTGTAGGGCCCAGGTCTCTGAGGCGTATGTTAATGCAGGAAGAACAGTGGGATCGAAGAGATATGCCTGGAGCCAGAGGTTCTTTGTCCTCTTAGCTATTTCTTCCACGCTCTTGAAGGCATTCCAAGCTGCTCTCTTCCTCCTGCGCAACTCAGGTGCCAGGTCATCTGTCATGTGGACTTCTCGACCTAGGTACACATAACTGGTGCATTCGGAGATGTTTGTCCCATTGAGAGTGAATGGAATGTCAGGAATGAGACCGTTTCTCATAAACATTGTCTTCGTAAGATTTAGCTATAGTCCGACCTTTCCACACTCATGGTTGAAGTTAGCCAGCATTTGTGCCGCGTGGCTAATGTTTGGTGTTATTAGAACGATGTCATCAGCAAAGCGGAGGTGGTATAGTTGCCGACCGTCTATCTTCACTCCCGTTCCTTCTCATTCCAGTCGTCACATGATGTTCTCGAGGGTGGCACTGAAGAGTTTCGGTGAAATGGTATCACCCTGCCGAATCCCTCTCTTGACATGATCAATTCTTTGTAGAATGGTGAGATCCTGGTAGTGAATCCGTAATACAGCTCATGGAGGATCCTGATGTATTGAGTTTGAATGCCTTGACTGGCTAGGGCTTCAATGACTGCTTCTGTCTCAACAGAATCAAAGGCCTTCTTTAAATCAATGAACGTTAGACAGAGCGGCATCTTGAACTCCCGAGAAACCTCAATGAGCTTGGTTATCATGTGGATATGGCTGATCGTGCTGAATCCTTTTCAAAAACTGGCTTGCTCACATGGTTGTCCTTCATCTAGTGTTCTGCCAATACTATTCAGGATGACTCGAGTGAACAGCTTGAGACCCATAGGGAAGTAATATTAAATACTTTTTGGGTTATTTTGGGGCCACACTTGGAGGTGCAAGGGACCTATTCTCATTCAATGGCTACTAATGGTGTTAGGGGGAATCCATGCAGAGTCAGGAATTGATCAGGACTCCCAGGTGCAACGCATGTCCATCAGCCCATGCAATCTCACTTTTTGTTTTGGGGACACACCCAGCTGGGCTCAAGGGTTAACTCCTAACTGCACTGAGGGATCACTCTAGCCAGGGCTCAGAGGACTGGATGTACTACTGGGGATGGAACCTGGGCTGGCTGTGCGTTAGGCAAATGCCTTACCCAATTGGTTTTCTCTCTGGCACCACAATCTTATCTTATTTTGTTCTATCCTTATTATATAGTTCACCCCAAGGTTCTAGCACAAAAAGAGACCCCAAATAATTATCAAATAAATGAATTAGGTACAGATTACTCAAATGAAAGAAGTTAGCTATCATTTCTGTCTCTGACCAACTATTTGCTTAAATTTACACCCTAATCCCAGATCTACCTCACCTGAACATGCATGCACAAACTGCCAAATAGCAGCAGAGCTGCTGCATGGACGATGTACACAAACACTCCAGGACTGAGGAATCCAGGATGAGACTTCTCTAGAGTCTTAGTGATCTTGCTCCTTCTCATCCCAAGTGTAAGGCAAAGCCAAGGATGGGCAGTTACAAAGGTCCAAGTAGCCCAGGCAACTAGCACAGCTACTGGGGTAGCCAGTAAAAAGTTGGGTACCTGCTTGAGCTCATAGTATTTTAGAAAACCAACATTCCAGTAGATATCCTGAATGTAGCTGTATATTAGAGGAAGGTCCCAGGAGCACCAAGGCGGCTCTTCTCCATTGGTGATTCTGTAGCCCTTGTCCAGAGCTAACTGTAGTAAGGGCTGAGGAATAGGGCGGGCTGAGCCTGGCAGACAGAACTGGGTAAAGGCATAATACTGAAAGAGGACAAAAGGAAGTCCAAGTGTGAGCAATGAAAGGAAGACAGAGCCCATCAGCTTTAAGAGCTCTCTCACAGGATTTAGCACCATGAGAGAAGAGAAAAAGCTTCGGCACTGAGAATGCATGAGAAAACCAATGTTAACCAGTCCATTGGAGCGAACACCAGCAGCAAGAGCAAAGAGGAGCCCACTGGTCCAGCTTCTACCCCTCTCCAGCTGCCCCATGGCACTGAATGTCAGGAGGGCAAACAAAGCTTCTGAGTAACCAGCAGTCAGAAAGACATTGGCAGGACTGAGGCAGAAGAGCAATGCTCCATGAAAAGCCTGCCGAGGACAGTGTAAAACCAAACAACCCAGGTCATGAAGTGCGACTGTGGCCAGAACTGAGAACAAGGAATTGAGCAATGCTACTGAGATCAACAGGCAACTCCGTAGGTTCAGTAACCCCCACAGGGGTCGCAACAGTTCAGTCCCCACCAAGAGGACCAGAGGGAAACCAGGGAAGAAGGCAAAGTTGTGCTCATACAGGTAGCCATGTTCGGCAATGAACAAAAAGTGTTCAGCATCCCAGTGAGAGAGGCCACCCAGCAGAAATTCCACAATTTGGTCCAGAGGGCCTGAGGTGGTGAGGCGAGGAGGAGAGAAGGCTTCTGCATGATGATCTGGGATGATGGCATTGAAGAGAGCCTGTGGGATGAAGGAAAACTAGGATTTTGATTGAACAATTTTAAGAAAGTATTTCCACTTAATAAAAATACAGAAACAGGTGGGGAGGGGGTAGGGAAACAGGACTTCATTTTTGTTAGGTTTGAGTTGGACATTCTAATATAGGCATCAGCTTAGAAATGAGATATGACTCTATGGGAAAGAAGAGCCATCAGATGTGAAGATATAAATTAAGAGTCTGAAGTGGATGGGCAGTCAATTTAAAGGTATGAGACTGAGCTAAAGCGACAGTACAGTGGGTAGGGCTCTTGACTTGCATGGGGCTGACCGCGTACAATCCCTGGCATCCCATATGGTTCCCTGCACAACATCAGGAGTAATTCCTGAGTGCAGAGCCAGGAGTAACCCCTGAGCATCACCAGGCGTGACCCAAAAAGCAAAAATAAATAATAAAAAAAAGGTGTGAGACTAAACAAAATTATCCATGAAGGAAGTGTAGCTAGAGAAAGAAGAAATCTTAGGACTGGGCCCTGAACACATTAACCTTTAGCAGTATGAAAGAGGGAAAGGATCCAACAAAGAAAATAAAGAAGCAATTTTTAGCCGGATAGGGGGAAACCAGGAAACTGTGCTGAAAAATAAAATAAAGAAGAGGATCCTGAGAGACAGTACAGGAGTTAAGGTACTTACCTTGCATGTGGCCAGCTTCAGTTTAAACCTTGGCACTGAATATGGTTCCCTAAACATCCCTCATGGTCACTCCTGAACATAGATATAGAAATAACACCTGAGCACTATAGGGTATGTGAGGGAGGTGGAGACAGAGAAAAAGGGTCGGGGGAAAGAGGGTAAGGGAGAGAGACAGAGAGAGAGACAGAGACAGAGAGAGACGGTGACAGAGATACTGATTCTGTTCAATACTGCTTATAGGTAAAACAAGATGATTGAAACTGACCATTGGATTTAGTATGTAAAGGTCAATGGTAACTTTGACAGGAGCTGTGAAGGCACAAAGAGTGTATGCAGACTGAGCTCAGTAGAGAAGGATAAGAGAAGGAAGACAATATAGAGACTACCTGTTTTTGTTTTGTTTTTGGACTACACTTGGCAGTGCTCAAGGGTTACTCCTGGTTCTGCACTCAGGAATTACTTCTGGCCTGTTAGGGGGGCCATATGGGATGCTGGGGATTGAACCCAGGTTGGTCAAATGCAAAGCAAATGCTCTACCCGCTGTACTATTGCTCCAGATCCAAGACAACTATTTACACAAGTTTTGCCACAAAGAGGAAAAGAGGAAGTGGGTAAGAGGTAACCAATAATGCAGGATCAAGAGAAATATCTTTTTTTCCCCAATGTTGGGGTACTTACAAATACAAGGCAAATACTCTACCACTGAGCTATATCCCTGGCCCCAAATTTTGATTTTTTTAATGGGGGAAGATAAATATTTGCTAATGAAAATAATCATAAAAAGGAAATCCTGAAATATTCAGGAGAGGGAACAATTATTTAGCAGGTGAAAGGATAGTATCTACTACAGAGGTAAAGGAGCTAGCTCAGAGATGAGTATAGACAGTTCACACATTCAGTTTGAGGAGCAGATGCAGACGTAATATGCTGATGGATGGAGTGGGACATGTGGGAGGCTGCTTCTGACCATTACTTTTCTGAATTTTCACTAAAGAATGCAAGCTGAAAAAAAGGTGTTTGAGGTAAGAAAAAGGAAGATGTATAAAAGATCAGTAGGTCACAGGCAAAACTGAGGCAGTGTGAGACCCTGTGTTTAATTACCAGTATTACAAAAATAAGTTATCTATGATCTAATTCATGAAATAGGGTATGCACTAGAATCACCTGGGGAGTTTAAAAATACAGATGAATTGGGCCAAAGAAATAGTACAGAGGGTAGAGTATTTACTTGCCTTGTACTGTACTTAGCTGACCCGGGTTTAATCCCCAGCATTGCAGTATGGTCCTCTAGCACTATCAGGAGTGAACTCTGAGTAGAGAGCCAGGAGTAAGCCTTGAGCACTGACAGATGTAGGAAAAGAGGAGGAGGAGGAGGAAGAGGAGGAGGAGGAGGATGCAAAGGAGGAGGATGGGGAGGAGGAGGAGGAAGAGGAAGAGGAGGAGGAGGAGGAGGTTGGAGGAAGAGCAGCAGCAAAGCAAATGCTCTACCTGCTGTACTATTGCAGGAAGAGGAGGAGGAGGAGGAGGAGTAAAACAAATGCTCTACCCACTGTACTATTGCTGGAGGAGGAGGAAGAGGAGGAGGAGGAGGAGCAAAATAAATGCTCTACCCACTGTACTATTGCTGGTGGAGGAGGAAGAGGAGGAGGAGGAGGAGCAAAATAAATGCTCTACCCACTGTACTATTGCTGGAGGAGGAGGAAGAGGAGGAAGAGGAGGAGGAAGAGGAGAAGGAGGAGGAGGAGGAGGAGGAGGAGGAGGAGCAAAGCAAATGCTCTACCTGCTGTACTATTGCTGGAGGAGGAGGAGGAGGAAGAGGAGGAGGAGGAGGAGGAAGAGGAGGAAGAGGAGGAAGAGGAGGAGGAGGAGAAAAGTACATGGAACTGATGCTATGACACAGGCGAGGGATAGTAAAATGATGTAGAATCAATTAATTCTAAGTCCTGAATATATAGAAGACATATAGAGGGAATGAGTTGAGAAGATAGGATACCCGAAAGATGCATCTTCTATTATCACTGAAACCATCAAGAAATCAACATTATGGGGCTGGAGAGATAGCACAGCGGGTCGGGCGCTTGCCTTGCACGAGATCAACCCGGGTTCGATTCCCAGCATCCCATATGGTACACTGAGCAACTCCAGGAGTAATTCCTGAGTGCATGAGCCAGGAGTAACTCCTGTGCAAAGCTGGGCATGACCCAAAAAGGAAAAAAAAAAAGAAGTCAACAATAGTGTTAGGAAGAGTATCAATTTATCAGTAACTCAAGTCTTCAATAAAAAAAAAAAACCACTTGGGCTGGAGTGACAGCACAGCGGACAGCGGGTAAGGCGTTTGCCTCACATGCGGCCAACACGGGTTTGATTCCCAACATCCCATATGGTCCCCCGAGCACTGCCAGGAGTTATTCCTGAGTGCATAAGCCAGGAGTAACCCCCATGCATTGCCGGGCGTGACCCAAAAAGCAAAGCAAACAAACAAACAAGCAAACAAAAAACACAGTACAGTGAATAAGGAACTTTCCTTGTATATGGCATGTGACCGACTTGGGTTCACTCTCTGGTATACTATATGGTTCCCTGAGCCTGTCAGGAGTGATTCTTCAGTGCAGAGCCAGGAGTAATCCCTGAGCAACAGAGTTAGCCCCCCCACCCACCCAAACAAACCAAACTAAAACCCAAACCCAAAATAAAAACAAAATGGGAGGGCTGGAGTGATAGCACAGCGGGTAGGGTGTTTGCCTTGCACGCAGCCGACCCGGGTTCAATTCCCAGCATCCCATATGGTCCCCCGAGCACCGCCAGGAGTAATTCCTGAGTGCATGAGCCAGGAATAACCCCTGTGCATCGCCGGGTGTGACCCAAAAAGCAAAAAAAAAAAAAAAAAAAAAAAAAAAAAAAAAAGGGACAGAACAGAGCCATAGTATGGGGGTTAAAGCACTTGCCTTGATGTGGCAATCCTGCTTTGGTCCACTGCACCATACACGGTCCCCCTAGAACCATCAAGAGTGACCCCTGAGTAGACAGCCAAAAGTAAGTCTTAAGTACTACCAGGAGTGATCCAAAACAAAAAACAGTCCTCAAGGAATGAATTTCAATAACAGAAAATAGCGAACATAATTTCACTGGTGATATAATATGATGGTACCAACTCTTAAGATTGGAAGTCAGGGGTAGAAGTAGAGGAAGAAATAATGAAATAGCGTTGTAAGGTACCTTTTTTATTTCATTAGATTGTCAACTGCTTGAAGAAGACTATCATTTTGTATACCCAACATCTTTTCATAGCACAGTTCTTGGACTAGATAATAAAATAAAATTTCAGTGGCTGAGTGAACAAACTTTTTTTTTTGCAGAGGAAACATACTTGTTTTTAAATTATCACAAGAACTAGAACCCATTATCCTGATTTCCTAACACAGATGTTGATTCACATACTGGTCTATTGGTTCTGTCAATCACTCCATTGATGCTAGCTCAAAACCATGCTGTTTTGTGTGTATGTGAACACATGTGCACACCTGGCCATGCTTAGGACTTACCCTGGCTCTGTGCTCAGGGATCACTCCTGGTGGTGCTCAGGGAACCTATGATAGCAGGGAATCACATTGGGGTAGACTTATGTAAGGCAAGCCTTAACCCCTGGACTATCTTTCTAGTTCTATAAACCTATATATTTTTAAATTGATTTTTTTTTTTTGGTTTGTTTTGGGGCCATGCTCAGCTGTGGTCAGGGCTTATTCCTGGCTCTGTGCTCGAGAATCAATCCTAGCAGGACTCAGGGGACTGCGCACAGTACCAGGGGTGGAATCTGGGTTAGCCTATTCCTGTACTATATCCTCAAACCAAATATAACCCTATTTTATTTTGTTTTATTTATTTATTTATTTATTTGCATTTTGGGTCACAGCCGGTGATGCACAGGGGTTACTCCTGACTCATGCACTCAGAAATTACTCTTGGCGGTGCTCAGGGGACCATATGGGATGCTGGGAATTAAACCCGGGTCGGCAGCATGCAAGCCCTACCCACTGTGCTATTGCTCCAGCCCTGAATATAACCCTATTTTAAAGGCTCTTTCTCTTGACCAGTTACTTTATCAGGGGGAGGGTGATCTCCTAAGCAGTGTTCAGGAGGTCTACTCACTCTTCCAAGTGATTCACAGCAAACTAGGCCAGTGGATCAATACATGGGCTTGAGGATACAGTGCTGCTTGGGCCTGGCAATACTGGAAATTATTCCCAAACCACCCCACTGCTATGTAGGAACCTCTAAGGTGGTGGTGACACCTACTTCCAGGTGCTACATCTCTTTCTGGGATGGGCTCAAGGGCCACACCAGATGATGCTCAGGAAGCTACATGATACCAGAGATGATTAGGGTTGACTATAGGCAAGACAAACACCTTAATCCCTTGTACACTCTCTCTAGTTCCTAGGCGACTTCTTTTTTTAATTTACTTTTTAATTTTTAAAATCTTTTTCATCATGCCACTTCAAACAGGTAAAGAATAAAGAGAGAAGTTTCTGTCACAGATAATAGTCTCCAAGTTGAAACACTTTTAACCTGATACCCAGCAAAAACTGGCAGACCTCAGGTAGTGCTGGCAGGAGAAAAGGAAAGGTTCCCACAAAGGAACCAAATATAAACCTCAGAAAATTTTGCTTTCATAAAAGGTGCATAGAATTTTGGTAAGATTCCTTAGGATGGTGATTACATTCAATAGTACATACTGATGAAACTACTAAGCACTGGACACTACTAGACACAAAATATAATTTGTATAGCACGGTAGCACTGTAATCCCATTGTTCATCAATTTGCTTGAGCAGGAACCAGTAACATGTCCATTGTGAGACTTGTTACTGTTTTTGGCATACTGAATACACCACCGGGAACTTGCCAGGCTCTGCTGTGCGGGCAGGATACTCTCGGTAGCTTGCCGGGCTCTCCGAGAGGGACGGAGGAATCCAACCTGGGTTGGCTGTGTGCAAGGCAAACGCCCTACCTGCTGTGCTATCCCTCCAGCCCATAATTTGTATATGTGAGAAATTTGATAAAATATGTTATCAAGAGAAATATTGGAGAGGGCAGTAAGCTGCAAAAGGGAAAATGCATTATGAGGGTTGTGTGTAGGTAAAGCAGTCAGAAGAGACACCCAAGAAATGTAGATATTACATACAAAAAGAATACACAGCTAGTCTCAGGGTTGTGCCACCTCTCTCCCACTCAACTGACAAAATATTCAGTTTCCTGGGAGAGGGAGCCAGGACAAATCTTTGCACTTTGGACATCGCGACATCTTTGACTACAGAACATTATGATCTATAGGAACGACTACTAGCGCGTAAGTTAGAACGGTGTGATCTGATTCTGTCCATTCCCTAAACTGCTATGTTACCATGGGGAAATAATTTAACCCTTCTGGTTCTCTGCTGCTGATTATATAAAAGATGAGATTAACAGATCACTTCTAAGTGTCCTGTCCACTTTTCAGTTACAAAATCTACATCTCTATAAAAGTGTACACTTGGGAGAGGGAAAGAGATGGTATTATTGTTAGCACCTAGACTTGTCATGTGGCAATGATACACATGTTTAGGACAAAGGATTAAATACTGACCTGTAATACCAGAGTCAGGATACGGCAGCTGATCGCAAACCTCAGCACTTCTTTCTGGGATGGTTTCAGGGACCACATCATCCTCTCACCAGGAGTTCAGAGACACCATTACAAAGGTTGAACTCACTCAGGCTTCTAAATTCCAAAACCCAAAGAGAAAATGTCACATGAATGAAAAATAAATTCTTGAAAGCATTCAAATTCACAGCAGATTTTTTCCACTTTATTATGGCAAATCCACCTACCTGCTCAGATGAGGGAAAATCATTTTTTTGCTTTACTTTTGGGCCATACCCATTAGCACTCATGGCTCATTGCTTAAGAGTAGCTACCAGCAGTGGTCAGGAGACAAGGCACCGCCAAACCCTGGCCTTCTGCATGCACAGCTAGTACTCAGCCTATTGAAATACGTTCCTGGTCTAGGAAAAGCATCTTGGTTGCAGGTACAACCACTTAGCATCATTTTGAAGCACTGAATTCTCAAGGAAAAGTTCCACACAGGCAGCATAAAGTTGGAAAGCTAAATTCACAGGACATCTTTAAAAGCCTGTAATGGGGGGCCAGAGAGAAATGGCACAGTGAGTAGGGCACTTGTCTTGCACATAGCCTACCCAGGTTCAGTCATTAGCATCATATATGGTTCCCTGAGCTCTGCCAGAAGCCCTGAGCATCGCTGTGTTAGACAATGAATCTGTAATGGGGACTGGAGAGAGTATATGGGAACCACATGTACCTTGCATGCAGCTGATTTCTGGTGCCACATATGTCCCAAGTACTTCTAGCGGCTACTCCTGAGCACAGAGCCAGTAGCTCCTGAATACTGCTGGGTGTGTCTCAATGCCAACCCCCAAATTAAAAAATAAAAGCCTATCATATTGGTTCAGAATTGTGACTCAGTGGGTGCACTTACCTTGCGTATGTCGGGCACCACACTAAACCAACCTCCACGCTACCCCCCAAAATTGCCAGTGGTATGCTCCTTATGCAGGTACCCCAGACCTTAAAATTGAGGCAAGAATATAGTAGGTAGGGTGCATGACTTGCACATGACTAACCTGGGTTCAATTCCTGGTACCACATATGATCCTCTGAACCCACCAAGAGTGACACCTAAGCCCAGCATCAGGAATAAGCACTGAGCACAACTAGGTGCCCGCTGCCCCAAAAAACAAAACCAAAGACTAAAAGACTGGGATTCATCCTAGCTGTCACTCAAATTCTCATTTAGCCTTTCTGAACCTGTTTTTTGATTTGTTTTGCTTTTTGTTGTGATACTTGATGGTACTCAGGGTCTACTCCAGGTTAGTATCCAGGGTGCATGGTCAGGTGATAAAATCTGGGACTTCTACATGAAAAATATGCATTCCACTTCTGAGCCATTTCCTCAGTACTGATACCTCAATTTGTTTCTGGGTCACATCCACTGGTGATCAGGTCATTCCTGTAAAGGGAACCATGGTACTCAAAGAACAAACTAGGACTACCAAATGCAAAGCATATGCTCTAGTCCTTTGAACTAGCTTTTTGACACTTGAGCCTCAGTTGTTAATGCATAAAATGGGATCAGACTAGGTCTGGGGGATTGTGTGTATGTGTGTGTGTGGCTCCCAAGAAAAGCTCAGGAGGCCTAGAGGTCCCTCCTACAGGCTGGCAGTTCAATGCAAGGATCTGAGAATAATGTTCTGCTTGGGCCCTATTATGCAGGGATTATTCAGTCCATTTTAGTGGTGCTGGGGAGGGGCCTTCAGGACTGTTAGCCAGTGATGCCTGGGGGACCCAGTGGTGCCAGGGATTGAACCAGATTTAGCCACATGTAATGCCAACACTTTAACCCTTGTACAATCGCTCTGGTCCAGAATGAGACTATTTTGTCTCACCAAACTGTCATGATGGAGATAGGACTTACGTGTGAAAAAGTACTACCAAATCTATACTGAGGTTGTTTTATTCGCAGTGTGCCCTTTTCTTCTTGCCCAAAATAATAAACTAGGTCCCAAACCAGTGTCTAAAAGTGGGCACAGAACTGAATTGGAAGACCATAATGTCTACATATGCAGGTCAGCTCTTTCATGTGTGTTTGGCTGGTTTCTTAAATTAAGTGGAGAAGGAAAAGAAAACCACCACTCAGCAAGACTTCTGCCAGCTCATACTGCTAAAACAAACTTAGGGGGAAGACAGAGTCAACTACTAGAGAAGAAAACTGTCATTTCCCATCTCTTTCTTGGAATGGCAGCAATGTATAAACAATTTCAAGGCCATTCTAAGGCAAGGAATGCACTTTAAGGCTTAAAAAAAGAAGGAAGGAAAGAAAGGAAGAAAGAAAGAAAAAATAATTCCTTGGGCTAAGACAAGCAGTCATGGTTCCCACAATAGGTCAAAATGTCAGTCTGGGAAGCATCAGAGGAAGCTCACAGGTTTGGAGTGAAGAACTATTCTAAAGGGAAAGAAATATTTGAACAGAAATTAACAAGGAGGGCTAAATTACTCTTTCTTTTTTGGGGGGTCTACATCCTATGGTGCTTAGAGGTTACTCCTGGCTCTGCTCTGCTCTCTTCAGCCCCTACTTTCCTTTCTTATGTCTATTCTGTTTCAAACCTTTGAGTACCACTTGTTTTGGGAATCTTTGTTCATTTGACTGTGATAGTCACTCGTAACATTGTGCATGCCATCTTTATTACTAGTTTAAATTTGAGGGCAAGGCTTTGTCCATCTTACTTCAACTACACCCCCAGAGCCTAATATATAAATAAGCATATTTAAGTCTGTGCTCCCTTTTTTAGATTCCTCCGCCCCTCTCGGAGAGCCCAGCAAGCTACTGAGAGTATCTCGCCGGCAAAGCCTGGCAAGCTCCTCGTGGCATATTCAATATCTCAAAAACAGTAACAACAAGTCTCACAATTTGTTGTGAGACTTTATTGGTGCCTGCTCAAGCAAACCGATGAACAACAGAGGACAGTGCTACAGTACTACAGTGCTCTCTTTTTGAGCGGAGGTGGTAAGAACAGGTCACTGGCATGAACAGCTCATTGGCTCTGGATGAAAAAATATCTGATCCAAGTATTCCTCCCACCATATCTCACTCTAAGAGCAAGAGAACAAAATCAAGGAAGTCACAGAAAAATAAAATTTCTCAGGAAAAGGGGCGAGAATGGATAACAGAAACAGTACTCGTTCTTCAACACGAGGGGGCGACTGCTGCTTACTCATCAACCAGGAGCCTGGAGGAAGGGAGGGGCCACCCACGCCACACTGATTTGCTCATCAAAATTCAGTTCAAAGACAAGCTTCTGAAAACCCCTGAGAGCTGCGGTAGTTTGTGAATCCACCCAACATTTCCAACATCTGACTCGCTGAATTGAGAGAAATTCTAGAAACAGGCAGAGACAATCTCACAGTTAGGTTTCTTCGTCCTGGGGTGAATTCACTCTTCTTCCCTTCCCAGCCACATGCACAAGTCGGGCGACAGAAAAGCACGTAACCCACCTCGACCTCTTCGCCAGGTCTCCATTCTTCCTCTCCTGTCTCCAGAGTCAAACTCTAGCCTTAGAGACCACAGGGAACTTGCAGCCTACACCTACCTGACAATGAAATCAAGTAAAAATATAAAGGCAGTGAGTTTTTCCCCTCAGCTAATTGCCAACCTCCCTTCCCAGCCACCCCATTTGCGAAATCGAAATCACAGACTCTCTGAACCGGCAGAGCTTACAGTGCAATGAGTTTTACTCTATTTTTCCCGTGAGATAAATACGCTCCCAGTGAGATGAGTAATAAAAATCTCCCTGGTTTGAACTTCAGAGGTCTCATTAGACCCTGCGAGGCCACTGTAATTACCATCGCCATTTTATGGGTGTGGAAACTGAGGCTCACTAGGGTCAAGTGGCACACTCAAGGTTATACTTAGAATGTAACTCAGTTTGGCGCCTGGAACCTCGCGGTGCGCCCAGCACTCGGGGTGAGGTCAGAGGGGATGCGCGTACGGGACCCCCTAGTGCCTCCCAACTTGTCCCGTGTTTGTCCAGTGTGGGGCGCGCACTTGCTGGGCCCGCTCGGGGCATAGAGCGTCCTAGCTGACTGCGTGGGGCGGCTCTGAGAACTCGATTCTCTTCGGGTCTTTCGGGAATGTTGGGGATTTAAACCCTGGGCCACTGGGTAAAAACATCAACATCCTCGGCGGGATGGGCAAGTGGCTCTGAGCAGGGTCAACCGGGCCGCCTTCTGCCACCGGGGAAAAGTAGGAAGCCCCTTCCAGTCCAGGAGGGGATGGGGCGCCTCAATTCCCCAGAGGGGCCAAGGACCAGCGACAACTCGCGAGGGGGCCGGGGAGAGGAAGGGGGAGGCCCGGGCTAGGGCCGGAAGGCAGGGGAGGGCGGAAGGCGGTAAAGGAAGAGGCGGCACCGGGAGGCCGCTATGGCGGAGGGGCGTGGTTCCCCGCTTCTCAGCAGCCTCCAACTAATTTCCCCCCGTTTCCATTTGACGGCTTCCCTCCCTTCCCCCTCCCCCACCCCGCCCCCCGAGCTCCAGGGATCCCAAACTGGCGCCGGCTCCACAGCACCGGCCAGTCTCCACGTCCCAGGCGGGGTCCGAACCTCAATTCCTTCATCCGGGGCTCAGGGCAGCCCGCGCCTGCGCACTGGCGCCGTGGACGGTGGCCCCGCCCCGCTCCTGCCCAGACTCGGGGCTGCCCCGCCCCCTCCGCGGCGGCCATGTTGACTCCGGGCGAGCGGGCCAAGCCCCGCACACCCCGCGGACTCCGCGCCCTTCCGCCCTTGGTGACACCTGAAGAGTTCCCACTCGCGCCTCATGTTCCTGGTGCCCCGCTTGAAGTTCGCCCATCAGGGCTGCTGTCTCAGAGCCGGTGCTCTTGGCCCCAGTTCCACCGCACTAACAAACATTCACGGAGTTCCTGAGGTCCGCCCTGGCTCTGGGGATTGGGGGCTGCCCCGCGGCCTCTTCGCAGAAACCAGAGCCACACTCTACAGGCTGTCTGGCGACGACTCAGCTCGGGGTCTGGCACACAATAGAAGTTCTCTAAATAGAAAAAAAAAAGACGACTTGGGGTTTCTGTGGCAGCTGCACCCTACGCCCTGAGTGTGAAGAAAGTGGGGGATCCCCCTGACTTTCCCCTTGAGCTACCGCGGACCTTCTGTCCTCCTTACAGACCTTGGCCCCACCTCAAGTGGCTCCCGAGGTGGGGGAAGGAACCTGGAGAACTACCCCGGGTCTCCTTTCTCCTTCCTCTTTCAGGCCTGTTCTCCCCGTAGGGGGGCCCAGGGGAAGGGAGAAAAGCGGCAACTCCACGAAACTGTCTGTTAGGGAGGAGCGGCCAGTTGGTAGCCCCGTAACGGAAACTGTTAGAACAACTCTGCCCCCTCCGCAGAGGAAATAGATAGAAACCCGGCTCCGTTGGTGGATTTCTCGTTTCTCAGGATTCCAAAGCCGCCTGCGGTTTCGGTTATCGGCCGCCCCACGCAGCGAGGGTCGGGGTTCGCCCGGCCACAGCCCTGTGCGGAGGGAGGGGCTTATCTTGCGCCCCAGCTCCCCCGAGGGTGGGAACAAAGAGCGCAGCTATCTTGGGCAGAGTCCGCCCGCCCGCCCGCGTCGGTTGGGGAAGGGGCACCCTATCTTCTGATTCTTTCCAACTCCCCTCGACCTGGGGACCTCAGCCGCCCTTTAGCAGGTAGTGATGGGCGTGTGCTGGGTGAGCAGGGGAAAATGGAGTTTGAAAGACGGGTCCATGTTTTTTCAGAGACACGCACGTGTTAATTTGAGAGGCCTGAGTGAACCCGCAAGGCTTTGGAGCACAGTTTTGTTTTGTTTTGTTTTGTTTTTTGGGACACATCCGACCGTGCTGAGGACTTACTCCTGGCGGGTCTGGGGAGACCATCCGTGGTGCTGGGAGATGAACCCAGGTCATCCCTGGCCGAGTGCCCTGCTTGCTGCCTTGGGCTTTGGGAACACTCCTTACTGGGGTCTAAGGTTGTGGCTTGAATCTCTTGAAGACTACGAGGCTCCAAGCAGCTTTGTGTTTGCAAAGACTAAATGGAGACATGAACTGGTTCTGCTTTGTGAATTCACAAGGGAAAGAGACATTCATTTTTAACCATCCCCCTCTGTCCATGCTAATTTCCCTCAATAATCTGCTTGTGAAAAGGACAGGGGTCTCTTGTGACACATCAGTATGATTTCTAAAAGCTGAACTGTCTCCTTTTAAGAGAGAAAACTTTGTCTAGACCTTCAGCTCCACTTTCCTGCTATTTCTCCTTCCTTTCCTTCTCTGCTAAGCACCCCCGCCCCCTCCTTCCGCTTTGTTTCCTGTTTCATTTTCTGCCTCCTGCTCCATCAGGAAAACAAGAAAACTGAACCTAAGGCTCTCAAGCCTTTTGCTTGTCGAATGGAAGCTGACTAGGTGGATTAGGAGGGGGTTCTAGGTTGTGAAAAGGTAGAAGAAAAGGCAGCTTTCTCCTGGCTGCTTTTAGTCTACAGCTAAAATGGAGCCTGCATGTATGCAGGGAGCTGGCAGAGCAAGAAGCACTGTGGGAGTCAAGGAGACAGATGTACCCCAGGTCTCAAGACTCTCCAACCTTCCAGCCACCCCCATTAAGAAGCAAATAATCCATACTTACTACCAAGAAATGATTTATAATACAAATGCCCTACTTAAATAATGCTTTCTGGAATCCTAGATTTTTCAGCTTTCCTCCTTTTTGAACCCAACCTGACTTGGCTTGCTTTTTTTTTTTTTTTTTAGGTTTTTGGGCCATACTCAGTGGTGTTCAGGGCTTACTCCTGGCTCTGTGCTCAGGGATCATCCCTAAAGGGTTTGAGGGACCATATGTAATGTTGGGGATTGAACCCAGGGCAGCCATGTGCTACTGTACTCTATCTCCTGCCTCTTACTCTGTTCTTGTATCTCTTTCCTGAACACAGCACAAGCCCATCCGTTCGCCATCCTTTAGCTGTTTTCTTTCAGGAGTTGGCACCACCTGCCCATGACTTTTACTTGCTTCATTGTCTATTTCTTGTGGAATATAACCTCTGCAGGAGCAGGGGCCTTGTTCACCAAAGTATTACCAATCATTCAGAGCCATGCTTCCCTGAGTATACTTTGTGTATACTTAGTGAAAAGCTGGTGAATAGGTCATTTTGTTTAAACTGGTATCTTATTATTTAAAAAAATTGTTTGGCCATTCCTGATGATACTCAGACCTATTCCTGGCTCTGCACTAAGGGATCACTCCTGGCAGTTCTCAGGATTGAACATGGCAAGCACCCTACCCCCTGTATTAACTCTCCAGCCCCTAACCTGGTGTCTATCGACTTTTTTTTGTTTGTTTGTTGGGTTTGGGGCTAATATCTGATGGTGCTCAGGGGTTACTCCCTGCTCTGTTTGGGGGTTGCTCATGCAGTGCTAAGGATTGAACTAGTGACAGCTGCTTGCAAGGCAAGAGCCTTAACTCATGTACTCTTCAGACTTTGTATCTATTGTTAATGGCTGTGTGAACAAACTTGGAAAAAGGAAGTGTGAGTCTAATAGCTAGTGGCAGAGGTGAAACTTGGATTCAGGTCTCTAACCTCCCAAGCTACTATTTTTTCCTACTACTCCACACTAATGTTTATTTTGGGGACACACCCAGAGGTGCTTGGGGATGCAGGGCATGTGCCGAGCCCTTTGAGCCATTTCCCTGGCCTAAGGCCCAAGTTTTTTTTTTTTTTTTTCCCCAAACCACATTTGGCAGTGCTGGTGCTCATGGCAATTTCTGACTTTGCGTTCAGGAATAACTTCTGGTGGGGCTCAGGGAACCATGTTGGGTGCTGGGGATTGAACTGGATCAGCTGGGTGCAAAGCAAAGCAAGCACCCTGCCCCCTACACAATCTCTGGTCCATGGGGCCCAAGATTTTTTTTTTTTAATGTCACTCTGGACCCCCTTCATTTGCCCTCTCTGTCCTCCCTGCTGCCCACCTCTGGGGTCCAAGTCTCTTTTTGTTTTGGCTTTTGAGCCACACCCAGCATGCTCAAGGGTTACTTCTGGGTCTGCACTCAGGAATGACTTCTGGTGGTGCTCCAGGGGCCATATAGGATGCCTGGGATCTAACCTGATCAGTCATGTGCAAGACAAAATACCCTACCCATGGTACTATCAATCTAGTGGGGCCCAAGTCTTAACAGTTCTACTTTGTCTTTCTTCCTCTAAATATTTGTCTGGCTGGGGAGATGGCTCAAAGGATTGGAGTACATGTTTTGCACAAAGGTTCAATCCCTGGCATAACATATATCTCTACCATATAATGAGATGGTTTCAATATTGAGCGAGACTTACCTTACTCTCATGAAAATGATTATATCTAAAGTATTTTATAGAGGCTGGAGCTATAGTGGGTAGTGTGTTTGCCTAGCACGCAACCGACCTTAGTTAGATCCCTGGCACCCCACATAGTCCCCTCAGCACTGCCAGGAGTGATGCCTGAATGAAGAGCCAGGAGTAAGCCTTGAGCACTGCCAGGTGTGGCCCCCAAAGATATTTATATAGTTTGGGGGCCACACCCAGCAATGCTCTGGTGTTACTCTGGTTACTCCTGAATCTGCACTAAGAAATCTTTTTATTTTGACTTTTTTTGGTCACACATGGCAAAGCTCAGGAGTTACTCCTGGCGGTGCTGGAAGTGGGGGGAGGGGTAATCATATAGGATGCCAGGGAATTGAACCCAGGTCAGCTGCATGCAAGGCAAAGGCCTTCCTCACTATACTATTGCTCCGGCCCCTAAGGAATTCTTTTTTTTTTTTTTAAGGAATCACTTTTTTTTTTCCTTTTTGGGTCACACCAAGCGATTCATAGGGGTTACTCCTGGCTCATGCACTCAGGATTACTCCTGGCGGTGCTTGGGGGGCCATATGGGATGCTGGGAACTGAACCCGGTTGGCCGCATGCAAGACAAACGTCCTACCCGCTATGCTATAGCTCCAGCCCC